TGATTAAAGAATTTTATAGCAGAGTACTAAATTTTGCATAGTCAATGGACTTTTCACTCTATAAGACGTGCCTACAAGGAATCATGTAGTTGCATTCATCAAAACAAATATCCAGTCCAAGATGATGAATACAACTACCATGATTCTCTGCAGGCACGTCTCATAGAGGGAATTGTCCATTTTCACCGGTTTTTAATTTCACAGTTTTCTGAAAATCGTGAAAATTGTGAAAATTGATAAGTAACAATTAGGTATTTGTCCCCATCACCTTTCTTTTTGATCAAAAATGCCAATGCCCCAGGGCACGGGGTTGGCTGAAATTGCCTGATGCACTAGCAACCCTTACATAGTTTGACTGTTTGTTTTCTGCTTCTTGCTTGATGACTAACACCCTGTTCACACCAATGTGGTAAACATGTTTAAAAGTGGTTTAACTTAAAACAAGGTTAAAAATCAGTTTCAAAAATCATGCACACCCCACAACTTAACAAAGTAATATATAGATTTAGCCCACCTAAAAGCAGAGCTCCTGATCAAATAATTAACCATAAATAAAAAGAGGATATTTTTCCCTGCATCAGAAACTCAAAAAATCATACATTAAGTGCAAATGATTGTTCAGTGTGTGGTTTCACTATTTTTTCTGGTTACATATTAATAAATCATATCTGATGAGTGTACCCAAGATTGTAGAAATTATGCACGCAATGTATCAGGGACTTTCCAAGAGATGATTGTGCAAGGAATACTTAGAACGAAAATTTAACTACGCATCAGAGTTTAATTTGCATCAAAATTTTGCCTTTGCCTCCCTCTCCCCCAGGGGAAAAACCTCACTTAAGCCCGCGATCCAATTGAAAACCCAGTACTTGGTCCGCGGTCAACTTCCAAAAAACACACGACCTCGATGAACTCCTGACCTGAGCCCCCGATATGGTCATGTGATGCTGATCAGCGGATACCTTGTTTTGACAGCTGTCAATTAATTATAACATGGATGTCCAATATCAAAGATATACCTATGGTAATGGTGCTACTTTCTTATTTTTCAAGGTATGGGGCTTGGCGTATGGACATATGGACAGTCAACAACCAAAATTTTTGAGATCAATGTGTTACCAAATTTTCTAAGGTATGGGGCTCCACTCATGCACCTTTGGTGCGCAGGTGCTCGGCAAAAAACCTGTTTGATCAAAATATGTTGGGAAGTTGGTTTGAACTATGAAATTTGTCTTCTCAAAATGACTGCAAAGTGTAGAGGAGACCAAACTAAACCCGATTAAGTTAGCCTAGTTTAGTTGGTGTGAATTATGGGGCATAAAGGAAGGATGGACTATCCATCATTTATAATCTGATAAGATTTCATTTGATCGTTGATTTGGTCATGAATAAACACCTAAAAATTAAAAAAAGTAACAATATTAATTCTTTTTTTACAAAAAATGAGTTATGTTTGCCAAAGACTACATGTACCTGCAAAATCAAGAGACAATAACTAGCTGAAAAAGAGCACACTATCACATTTATTGCACTTCAAGAAAAAACTGCACAATCATCTCCTTGTATCGCCTAGTCAGGTCTGTCAAGTTGAAGGTGCTGCTGCTGCTGCAGGCTTTTTTCTCTTCAGGACAACTGGCCCCACATTGTCTCCAGTTTCTTTATTGTGTTGGGTATGTGAGCCATCACACCTTGGAAACTGATAAGAAAAGGAAAGAATTCAGCATTGACTTTAAATTTCTCTCACTGGATACTAAGCTAATAATTTTATTAATTTTGCAGCATATAGAACTTCAGATTTATGGCAAGGTGTCAAAATACAATCAGTCCCAGATCCCTAAGTTAAGATCTTTTGTTTTGTTACAAATACAAAACGTTACAAAATACTTGCAATATTACAAAGTATAATTCGACAAAACCAATTAATAAATATAGGTCCGAAGAAACCAAA